GCATCCTAGCGTGACTGAAAAGAATTTAAATTGGACTGCATGATAAACAGTACTGCAACCCTACTTAATGTTGTTTTGCGAGTGATAACCGGTCTTTTTCAAATGGCGGAATTTTGCTTGCAGCACTCGCCATACTGTAAGTTTGCAAGACTGATAGTCGTGTTGTCTATTCTGATGTCATTTCAATCACGATAGGATGTCGGCTTTTTAACGAGCTTCCGTCTGGCCGCTAACAAAATGCATGTACTGTAAAAGTGGCTAATTGCGTAGCATGCACTGTTATCATTGATTTTGACTGCCTTTGTGAATTCAAAAATATTTTATGGAAAAATATAAACGAAAAAATCCTTTCTTGTACTCATTTGGTAGCAAATTACGCCTAACTTACATCTTATGTTTAAAGAAAGGGTAAAGGAAAGGTAGGTCATCACCTACGGTTTGAGGATTACGTCACAGTTCTCAGACAATGTTGCAGTACATGTGGATCATGCAGTATACATTATAGGCAGCATTAATATATTAACGGATACGGTGTACTATGAATGAACACCACACAATTGCAAAAAAGCTCATAATGAGAAACTTTTTAAAACCAAAAGATACCCTTTCTTTAAGTAAAAAGTTTAAAAAAGGCGTAATTTCCTACCAAACGAGTAAAAAAGTTTTTTTCGTGCATGTTTTCTATAAAATATATTTGAATATATAAAGACAGTCAAAATCAAAATGCCTACTATTTAAGTAGCCACTTTTACAGTACATACTGTTTGATTGCGGGCAGAACGAAGCTCGTTAAAAAGCCGACATCCTATCGGGATGGAAATGACTTCAGGATAGACTACATCACAATCAGTATTATAATCTTACTTAATAATGCCGATTAGCCGGAGAATATCAATCTTTCGCATCTGTCCGCATGTAACACGAATTTCAGGCTATAATGTATTCGCTTTACTTATTCAATCCATCCTTTTTTGCAACCGATTTAGGTATAAATCAACTTGATTGAGATACTAAGAACTGCATATCCTAGTTACTATCCAAATTAAAATAGTAATATTGCCTGCAATCTTTCTTTTGCCTCTTTGTACTCACTTTCTGCTCTCCTCCTCGCCGCATCCCATCCCTTGTCACTTAGACTTGTTATGACAGTCTTTAACGACTTTGACGTGAAAGTTGCTTTCTTCTGTCACATTGAACTCAATACAGTGGAACTTAGGCTGATGAGCAGCTCCGTACGGGCATTTCAGGTTACATGTGAGCCATTCTCGGAAAATTTGTTTCGATTGACTAGCTTCCGCTCACTTAGCGAGTTGTCAGTGCATGTGTGTGTGTGTCTACCTGAGTCCATCGTCGAGACTTATTCCCAGGGCATGGGCCCTCGGTCACCTGCAGCCAATCAGTGAACTGGTGCAGTTTGATTGGCTACATTTCGTAAAACGAGCGTTTCAGGTAACGAGAGCGGTGCTAGAACGCGTTAAACTCGTATACCGAGGTTCCACTGTATCCACAATATAGATGATACTAACGGACTCAGAAAAAGATTTAGTAAATGCCATGAAAGCAATGTTGACCTGAGAAATAAAATGAGGTACTGAGTTAGATATTAACTATTTAAGCCTTAGAATCCAACACCGTCGGGAAAGCTTGTTAGTATTTAAGGACAATAAACTATTATTTGTATGACAGAGGCTCTTGACAGAAGAATCACGGGAAAAAACACATAATGGTACCAAATGCAGCTGCACCTAAGGCGTCGTTGTAAAACCTGTCTACTTTTTTCATTCACGTAGGTGCTTTTCGTTACCATTAGCATAATCTTGACAGTAATATGAGCGGTTAAGGTTGTATTTTCATTTATTTAGGTTTCC